AAAGCAAAATAGAACCATGGGGTTCACAAGAAACATCTAAAATATTAAAACACAAAAGGACTTAAGGGAAATCCTAATTGAAAGAATGCTAAATAGGACATGAGCAATGGATGAAACAGATCTGTGAAGCAAAATATGTTGATACAAAAGCAAAAGGTCAATAAAAAACTACAGATTCAAATCAAATGAACATATACTAATCTATAATTGTACATGTACCTAATGAAACAGTCTATAGCCGGTCCTCAAATAACCTCATTTTGCTCTATGTCATTTTGTAGTGATGCTTACAAGGGAAAAAAAAATTGATTCCCAACTGCAGCTACTGTGTGGAATTTGCACATTCTCCCTATGTATGCACGAGTTTTGGCTCGGCACCTGTGGCTCAAATGGCTAAGGCGCCAGCCACATACACCTAAGGTGGCAGGTTTGAATCCAGCCCAGGCCTGCCAAAACAACAATGACGGCTGCAACCAAAAACAAAATAGCCAGGCATTGTGGCAGGCGCCTGTGGTCCCAGCTACTTGGGAGGCTGAGGCAGGAGACTCATTTGAGCCCAGGAGTTGGAGGTTGCTGTGAGCTGTGATGTCATGGCACTCCATCCAGCAGGACAACTTGAGGCTCTGTCTCAAAAAAAAAAAAAAAAAAAAATGTATGCACAAATTTCACCAGGTTTTCCAATTTTTCCTTCCACATCCCAAAGATGTGCATGGTAGGTGAACTGAAATATTCCCAGTGTGCCAGGTGTTGTGGCTGACACCTATAATCCCAGAACTTGGGAGGAGGAAGCAGGAGAAATGCTTGAGGCCAGGAGTTCTAGACCAGCCTATCTAAAATAATAAGGCCTGGTCACTACAAAAAATGGAAAAAAAAAAAAAATTAATGGGGCATGGTGGTGTGCCCCTGTAGTCATAGCTACTTGTAAGGATGAGGCAGGAGTCAAGGAGTCAAGATTACAGTGAGCTATGATTATGCCACTGCACTCCAGCCTGGGTGATAAAGTTAAGACCTTGTTTTTAAAAAATAATAAACAAATAAATAGTATGAGTGAGTGTAGGGTGTGTATGAGTGTGCCCTAAGATGTAATACTGTCCTGTCCAGGGTTAGTTCTGACCTTGCTCCCTCAACTATCAGTATAAGCTCTGGCCATCCCCAACCCTGAACTAGAATAAGCAGGCTAGAAAATAAATACAAATTGTCAAAGACAAATTCATAAACCATATGATAATCATACAAATGCAGAGAGCCCATCATATTTGTTATTGTTTGTTTTGGAACTGCATAATAATAGTTAGGGCTCATGACAATTTTCATCTTGTAAACATTTATTCGTTGATTTAACCCCCCACTGTTATAACTGCATTCATACTCATGCACCAGATCCTGGATAAATAATCATATTACTTGTTTTTATTAATCTTTCTCAAATATACAGATCACACGCATTTCCATGTTTAATCCTAGAAGTGTCTTGCATCTTTATTTAGAAGATTTTGTGACCAGAAATATGCCATAGGAATTCTTTTTTTTTTTTAACTAAGGAGTCTGTAGCCTTAACAGTGGCCACACGCTTGGCAAGTTGTAAGTGCTTTATAGACATCATCTCACCCCTGGAATGCCTAAGTTATCAGGATGTTATAGCTAGCCCTGGCCAGGTTCGAATCCACTACCCTTGGTGCATGTGGCTGGTGCAGTAACTACTGTACTACGGGCGCCTATCCAGGAATTTAATTCTTATTTCTATCAATTAATGTATGGTAATACTGAAATTAATAAAATCAACACCTTATTGGGAGACCAACGTATCTTTCTGAACTGTCAATAGATTTATAGAGACAAATTAGTAAAATCATAAAACCTTGTATCCAAGGCTATACATTCCTCTCAAGCACATATGACATATATATAAAAATTGTGGGCCGGCACCATATAGTGGGGATGGTGGGTTCAAGCCCGGCCTGGCCAAAACTCCAAATAAATAAATGTTGTGGCCTTGTGTGACTCATAGTGTTTGAGATTTATTGAGACATGATTTATGAATAAAATAACCAATATTTATGTGTGTCATATGTGCTTGATGTTTCGGTCTTAAATTGTCTAATGGGCTCCTGCAAGTTCATTTTAACATTGTGCTTAGGAACTCACATACGTGTGGCAAAGAACCAAATATTACATAATAAACAATTACTTAAAGTCAATTGGACAAATCAGCTGCCATAAAAATATAAGCAGTAGGGAGGTGCCTGTAGCTCAAAGGAGTAGGGCGCTGGCACCATATGCCAGAGGTGGCGGGTTCAAACCTACCTCCATCCAAAAACTGCAAAGAAAAAAAAAATACATATATATATATGTGTGTATATATATATATGTGTGTGTGTGTGTGTGTGTATATATATATTAGCAGTACTTTGTAAATTTCTGTCAAGAGGTTTGTCCTGAGCTAGATGCTCAAGAGAAATTGGCTTTTGACATGTAACAAGCAAGCAAAGGTAGAAAGACAAAGAGAACAGCCAGTTGGTTTAAAGGCTAAATAAGAGTTCTTAGGTACACTTCAAACAGGCTGCTCCCAGGAGGAATCTCTAAAGAAATATGGTCACCAATGAATTGTTCTTAGGCACACTTCAAACGGGCAGCTCCCAGGAGAAATCTCTAAAGAATCTCTAAAGAAATATGGTCATTAACGAATTGTTTTAAGAGCCTGATAAGAATGAATAGCACAAAAATAATGCAAAAATCAAGAGGTTCAAAATTCTATTTTAAGGAAAGACCTATAAAATACTGCCAATATTATTTTTTCTTTACTTCTCATGAATGTTCTGTATTATGCCTTTATGACATATTCTCGATTCTTTTACGAGACTGGGATGTTTTCACAGTATATTTGGTGCTTCTGAATCAAATAAATATTCATAGCAGTGTACCTGATAAGCTTCAGCAGCTGAGGTTATCACCTGCTCCACTGCACCAACAACAAAGACTCCTTTCTTGATGTGCTCCCTTAAGTATAATCCAGCTGATGCAGAGTCCAATAGGTCGAATATCTGCTCATTATAGATCTCAATAAAAGAACACTTACAAAGGAAACTCTTTCCAGCTCCAGCCTGAAAAAGAGAAGCTTTTTTTTATCAAATACAATATTTTGATGTGTTCATTACTAGCTTTCATGAGCATGAAATCTTGCATTTGCTTCGGAAGATATAAATTGCCTACAGTATTGTCCTTTAACACCATATAAGATGCCCAAAAGTCAGCTAAAAAATCCTAAATAACTAGTTTCAACACATCATGATATTTTAAAGCATCATCAAATTGTGGTCCCAGGAGCCCTAGAAATTTTCAGAGGTGCTTCAGAGCCAACACAGAAAGATAGTAATTGAGCAGTCCAGTTGGGCAATTCCATTTTTGTCTTATGTATGACCTTCCTCATAAAGTTTTACTTGAAACAAGTGTTATGCTCTTTTTTTTTTTTCGTTGGCTGGGGCTGAGTTTGAACCCACTACCTCCGGCATATGGGGCCGGTGCCTTACCCCTTTGAGCCACAGGCACCGCCCACAAGTGTCATACTCTTTAAAAGACTGAAAATAATTTATTTTAAAAGACATTCTACAGATTTTTTTTCTTTTTTGAGACAGTCTCACTTAGTCATCCTTGGTAGAGTGCTGTGGCATCATAGCTCACAGCAACCTCCAACTCTGGGGCTCACGTGATTCTCTTGCCTTAGGATGTGAGGTCACCTGAGAGCCTAGGTACAGATGATGGGGCTTAGTGTATTAGTGTATCTGTTTCCTTGGTTGAGACCATCTTTACATGTTCTCACTTGCAAAATATTTTGAG